TTGACTATTTTTTGGTATTAACCTCCTGATATTCGAAAATTACGCTGGGTTTCGACTAATCTAGAATTAAACTATGTCAGACCCCATAAGGGTGGAAGCTCTCTCAACGTCTGTTTTTCTATTTACAAAACTCAAACTTGAAACTTTTTTTAAGGGGAACCGAATTCCTTCTACTCAAATCATCATATCGTTGGTATAAATAGTTATTCTTCTTCTTGGATTTCAAAAGCAGTTTTTGTTATAAGATTTTAGTTTGAGAATAAACTTAAGGTTGAAAACCTAAGTTTTCTTGGTTCCATCTTTAATTTTACGAAGTTCTTAGTTTCTGTTTGTTCTACCCCTACCTTCCTTGTATCAAATTGGTATCAGAGCTACGGCTAGTCATGGTAAAGGAAACAAAGGCCAACAAGTAGAATTAACTGAGATGCTTCGTATGATTGAGGACTTGTCATGAATTGTGCAAGCTTTACAGTGACAAGAACCCATGGGAGCCCATATAGAGATGCCAAAAGGTGTCCATAACCCTACAAACACACCGAAAGGTGTCCATAACCCTATAAACACACCAAAAGGTAGTTTGGAGGATGATTCCATGGATATGGAAGAAATGATAACCCTTTTCATGAAGCTAGAACCACAAATCAAGCAGTAAGAGGTGGATTGGAAGAATAGTTGATTTAGGCCCTTGATTTGTTTGAAGAGGAAGGAGGTGACACATTAGATCCAATTTATGATGTTTATTGTGATGAAATTGAAGAAGTGTACTTTCTTTCAATTTAGGAAGAATCTTTAATGATTTAATGAATGATGGCAATAACTAAGGAAGAAGGACAAGATTGGAGGAGTCATTCTTTCAGGGAAGACAATTGAGAAAAAAAATCTTCCGCTGACAGTAAGATAATTGGTTACACATCTGTTGAGAAATTTGAAGCTAAAAGCCAAGAGGCAAGAGTCATATATGTTGTTTTAAATAAGTTGTCGAGAGAAGAACAAAAAAGAGAAAATTCTATGCAACTTAATGAAAATCTATAGCTATTAGAAGACATTAAAGGGTCAAAAAAATAAGGAACTATCAAAGGGATGCTTCCAATGTTGAATTTTCAATAGGCCTTTGATTTTATTCACGCAGCATGTTTAACTAATCTGCCTACCTACAAGATTGAATTATACACAAAAATGGCAGACTTCTTTCCTTGTTCTAAAATGTCATATGCCACACAAGTTATTGATTTATTTCTAGAAGAGGTGGTGAGACTACATCGTATTCCAACATCCATTGTTCATTATAGGGGTGTAAAGTTTAAGGGGACATTCTTGGCGAACTTCATGGAAGAAAACTGCTTTGGATAAATATGCTAAATACAAGACCTTTGATTTGAACCTAGCACAATTTCCAACTTGGGGGGAATGATGCGGGAGCGTAGAGCTCTTTTTAATGATTAGTTTTACGGCTGTTTGTTTTGCATTAAGTTTGAGTTTTATTTGGAGTCTAAGTTTTAAATTTAGGAAAGTCATGTGGATAGCATGTGACTTTTAATTAGAATTAGAATTAGTAACTTGCTAGAAGTTCAAATTAGAATTGAATTATGATTCTTGGTTATTGTTAGTATAAACAATTATTCTTCTTAGATTTCAAAAGCAATTTTTGTTATAAGATTTTAGTTTGAGAATAAACTTTAAGTTGAAAACCTAAGTTTTCTTTGTTCTATTTTTAATTTTACAAAGTTTTTAGTTTTTGTTTGTTCTACCCTGACCTTCCCTACATCATATAAGAAGACAAAGCTTTGTCAGAATGGAGCATAGAACACATGCCATGATCCAGAGAGACATATTGAGCCATCCTCAAACTTTTTAAATTGAATTTTATCTTTGATATAGTATCTGCAGCCCCACTTCAAAACTAAGCAATTCTTACAAAAAAAAAAAAAAAAAAAAAAAAAAAGCCCTACGGAGTTGATACGTCAAACTTTTAGAAATTTCTATACTATAACTAAGATAAAAGTTTATTATCAATTTTGGGTGGCTATGCTGCTATCTTGATAACTGAATTGAATGTGTTAATTGGTATCATCATAGCCTATAATATACTCTTAGGAAACTGATTAACATACACACTCCTATTTCGGAAAAGTGTTTTTATAATCCTATATGTGACAAACTGACAATGATCATGATTAGTTTTTTTACTCAGCGGTATGCGTGAATGGGTTGATTCAGCATGATTGTTGTGAAACTCCTTCGGGAGGTAAGGTTGTCTATCAACTGATGGAATTTAAATATTTTAATAAAAAAATAAAATAATATATTTTATAAATTAAATTTATTATTTTATTAAAAACTTAGTCAAATTAACTATTGTAGGTTCTTTTATTCAACGATACATTATTTTATAATAATTACTTAATTTATTTTTATAATTAATCTATAAATAGGAGTTATAAAACCATGAGTTTTATAAATAAGATATGTCTATCTACTTAAAGTAGAGAGTTCCTCCACATTTTTCTATTTTCCTTACTTTACTTTATCTTCTAAATATTCTTGGGTAAAGAAAAGTGTTTTGAGTAAAATAACTCTATGGGTAATATAGATCTATAGAGTATTATTATTATTATAAGGTTATAACATCCTAAGGGTTACATGCTAAATATATTTCTATTA